AGGCAGGCAGGCGGCCCGTGGAGGTAGAGAGTGGTGGGCACGCCAGGGGCTCTCCGCCCTCCTTCCACCGCTGCCCACAGCTGGCCCTATCAGAGAAGCTCTGGGCCTGCCCTGCGACCCTCCACCCCGGGGGTCCCTGCCCCTCCTGGGCTCAGCGGCTGCAGGCGGCGGGCGCCCTTCTCTCCTCCTCGGTGCATCCCCACCGTCCGGGCCATGCGGCCTCTCCTCAGGAGGCACCAGCTTCATACGTCCCTGCTCACCGAGGCCGCCCTGAAGTCCCCTTCCTGGCTCGTCTCTCGGGGGCAGCGGGCGTGGGCATTGGAGTTCAGATCCCAGCTGTGCCCCTGGCAGGCCCAGGAACTTTTATAGCCACCCGCCAGGCTTCTCTCCAGCCCGATGAGCACCGGGCGGCATGCACCGAAAGCTCGGAGACTCACAGCCAGCAGCTCACGGAATCCTCCGGCGCAAGCCTGCTGCTCTTGCTAGTACCCCCATTTCACATCTGGGGAGACGGAGGCTCTGGGAAGCGAAGGACTTTCCCTCGGCTTATGTAAGCTAATCTGGAGCCACGGTTCAAGCCCAGGACGGTCTCATTCCAAAGCTCCTCCTCCAGCAGCCGCCGCCAGGGGGATTTGACAGCTTCCCCACACACTGATAAACCGGCTCTGGGGAAAAAGGAAACAGACAAAGGAAACACCTGATTCATGGTGGTCGCCAATTTCCCTGGTGTAAATATACCCCTCTTGTCAATTTCAAGCTGTGTGTGAAGTCCCTGAATGTGGAACTGGGAAGACATGTGGGCAGTGGCAGGACCACATGGACCCAGCCGTTTCCGCCTGTCCCAGTCTCCAGCCCACCAAGCTCCTGCAGCTTCTTCAGAGACACTATGTCCTTTCTCAGGAGAGGGCTCGTGGCTTCCGCAGCCGGGAAAGCGGCCCCCACCTCTGGCCTTCGCACCTGTCAACCCTCCATCCCTCAGGCCTCAGCTCTAACGTCACTTTACACGAAGCCTTCCTTGACTCGCAGCCTAGGTCAGATTGTCTTCACTAAATGTGCTCTTCAAATGGTGCTCTCTCTTCTCCAGCCCTTACGTCAGATTTTAGCTATTTATGGGAGTGTGTGGTTATTCATGTTTCTCTCCCTCTGATGAGAGCAGAGCTTGTTGCCAAGGTGTCAGCGGGGCCTAGCACAGTGCCTGGCATAGGGTGGGTGTGCTCTAAATACCTGCTGGGCCCTGATGGCTGAATAGGAGTTTGCAAGGTGGGAAGGGGAGGAGAGAGGAACAGCATGGGCACAGGCAAGAAGTCTGCGTCTGTGGGATGTGTTCAGGAAACAAGAAAGTGGTGGAGTGGTGTGGCTGGCACTTGAACTGCATGGCACGGAGGGGCTTCTTCCAACAGGTCAGAAAGGTGCTGGCCCGGGAGGGTATTGGTGGTGTTGTTCTCGCCGACTGCATTTCCCAGCCAAGAAAACCAAAGCTGGAGAGGTAGGAATCAGGGGATTTGGGAGAAATCAGGGATGGCCAGGGTGTCGCTCCGTCCATCTCCTTTTCAGTGGAGGAGGCTAGGGAATCCTTCTTCCCACACTCCATGGCTCTTCTGTTCTACTCCCAGCCGATGACGCTGGGTGTCGAGACCTGCCTTGCCAATGCAAGAGGGCCCCCAGCTGGAGAACTGAAAGAAATCAGCCGTGACCTAATAGAAATCAGGCAACAAAAAAGAACAGTCTAGAAAGAATACTGGCTCAGAGTGTGAACTCTGGCACTGGAACTGCCTGAGTCTGAATCCCAGGTTCGGTTACTAACTGCTGGGTTTGGGGACCTTAGACAAATTGCTTAATCTGTGTGATCCTGGTTCCTCATCTGTAGAATGGGAAGGACAATAGAACTCAATTCCATGGGGCTGGGTCTTAATAGAAAGTGTAAAGCACGTGGCGCAGTGCTGGGCACATAGTAAGCACTCGGTGTGTTCTGGCTCTTCTTACCGCTGATGGGATTCTCTCTAGGATGCAGGAGACTGTAGTGGCGCAGGGGAACGTAGATATTCTTTCATTTATCGTGATCCTAGGAAAAGAAAGAAAAGGGACAAGCTTTAGGGACTTCCTGTATGTTAACATTATCTCATCCATCCTCCCCATGGCTCTTTCTATTGTCACTGCTCAATTGAGGCAGACAGCTCAGAGAGGCTTCACTGGTGCAGGGTGGAAAAGCTAATTAAAGATAACAGAACCACACCCAGACCTCCAAGACTCTTAGATGGAATAAGCCTAGGAATGTGGCATCATTGGGAATTGCCCTCTTGCGGGCTAATCTTGAAAAACTCCCCAATTTTAACTCACTCGTCATCCTTTGGTAGAGAACTTCTCCCTGAACCCCAGGTTCCCTCAGCTAGAAAATCAGGGGTGTTTGTAACAGGGTAAATATCGCTAGCTGCTGTAACAAACAACCCCCTCGGCTCAGGGGCTCCTGTCACCTATTGAATCAGGCTCCCCCAGGGCCTGAGTTCACCCCTAGCTCCTGAGCAAGTGGCCATGAGGACGGGGGTGGGGGGTGAACAAGGCACATGGCTCTGACCCACAGGTGCCAGACGTCACTTCCATTCACATTACTAGTCAAGGGCCCCACCTAGCTCACTGCAAGGGGGTGGGCAGCATAGTCCAGCCGTGTGCCAAGAGAAAAGATAACCCAAACCCCAGTGCCACAGGGTTGGGCCGGATTCCGTGACCCTCACGGGCCACCCTTGAACGCAGTAGTCAGGACTCCCAGGACCTTCCCTCCTGCAGCCAGGGCCCTCCCTCCCCGGGCGCCGTTCTGCCTCCTCCCTCCCTCCCTCCCAGGAAGAGAACCAGTCCCTGCCAACCCTCCTCCGAGGGTGGGTGGTTGGTGAGATAATGATCTTATCATACTTATTGCCTCTTGGAAGGCAGGTGCTGGAGAAAAACCAAGTCCGCTTTGGTTTTTCTCCCTGTTCCTTCACATTCCTTCCCGAGATAAATTTAGCCAGCTTTCGCTTTGAACGCAGTGCCCAGGATGCTGACTTTTTGTTCTCCGAGGCGAGGTGAGAACGTTTTTCGTGGCTGCAGCCTCGGGCCGGCTGGAATGCAGACTTCAGGAGCACAGTCCTGGCCTCTGCCCTGCCCCAAACATCTGTGACCCCCCTCCCCGCCCCTTCCCGGTCCCTGAGGACATCAGGTACCACATCTCCCAGACAGGGAACCTGAGTTCTCCAATGATGCGAACAGAACACAGAATACAGAAGGGCTTTGAGATCTGGCTCCTTACTGGCCACCTGGAGCCCAGAGACAGCAGGTTCACGGTTAAGAGCAGAGACTGGAATCCCGGCTCGGGCAAGTTACCTTCTTCTCCGTCTCCCCATCTGTAAAATGGGTCCCCCTCCTGGTGCAGCCCAGCCCACTCCATTCTGCCTTGGTCTGTGAAACCCTCTGCCGCCGCCACCCAGACCATAACTTACCACATCTTTAAAGCTAGTCCAGCCCCTCCCCTCTCTCCTTGTCCTCCAGGTCTTTGCTTCTTTGGCATAGGTAGTTGGGTTTCTTTCAGTCTTCTTCCTGGGGCCACTCCCATTTTTACTCTGGGTCTCAGTCTCAAAATCATCCTGCCTCCCCTGCCTCCCCCTTTGGCTGCAAAGGCCACGGGACACACCTTCCCAGGTCAGGCTCCCCGGGGAACCTTTCCCTCACTGACGAGCTTTTGGTCTTAGCTTTTCAGCCTGGGGCCGCAGGTGCACCACGTGAGTACACAGGCTCCAGCCATGCCCAGGGACGGGCAGGCATGAAAACGTGCAGCCCGGACTCTTTCCTGACCCAGTTAAACTCTTCTTCCATTCCCGCCCTCTGATGGCCCCTGGATGCCTCCCACTGCTGAGCCCACCGGGAGCCAGAGGGCAGGGAGCTTGGTGGAGGCAGGGTCTGCAGAGCAGGGTCCCAGGCCCTGCGGAGAAGGGCGGGCAGAGAACCGGTGCGGAGGGACAGGCAGAAGGCCCAACCCCGGGATCTCGACAGGGCCCATCTCAAAGGGTGGGTCTCAGTGTTTACCCCTCTCACCAACAGACCCGTGGCGGCGGGGGCGGGGGGCATGAGCACCCCCAGATCAGAGACGTGAGCCGTGAAGCTGTTCTGAGTCACATAGAAGGCCCCACTGCCAGCAAGGGGTGGAGCCAGGATTTAGACTGGTTTCTGCCTGCCTCCAGCATTCACATAGCCAGAGCAGACAATGGCTGACCGTATGAGTTTCGATGACTCTTCCCCTCTGCTATCTGTGCCCTTGGGCTGAGCATTGCCCTCCCCCTGCCGTGCGCGCTCAAATGCAAATAGCCCTGGGAGGGGCGTCACAGTCACAGAACACTTGGTCACCTTCCGGGCAGGAGTTCCCCATACTCCCATCTCTGTGGGAGAGGCCTGGGGATCTGGGGATCATCGGAAACACTGAAGGGGAGACAGCCGGCACCAAATAAGATCCATGGCAACCCCACAGAGTTACGGAGCTTTCTGAGCCCCTTTTCCGCATCATCTCACTTAACCCTCGCATGCTTCTGGGATCCTGTCACCCCTGCGGGTCCATGGTAGCCCCAAGAAATTACACTTTGCTGATAAAATAAAACCGAACAAATAAAATAAAATAAATAAAATAAAATAAAACCCAGACAAATAAAACCGAAGAAGCTTGGAGTCCAGCAAGACTCAGACTTTTGCACACATCAGCATCATCTAGGGAAATTACTTAAAAGGCGGAGTCCTGGGCCCTACCCACAGAGATGCGGGTTCCACAGGTTCAGGGTGGGGCTGGGAATCTGCCTTGGTAACAAGCCCCCAGGATGATGTCTGCACAGAGGGTCAGCTAACCGCACAGGGAGGACTGTGGCAGGTGTCCAGCAAACTATCAGTAAGAGTTGCTCATTAAGTGAGTGTTGCAGGCTCTAGAGGACCTTGAAGCTTCAGGTAGGAGCCCACGGTGGGACCCACCTTCTACGTCTGGCTTCCAGGTTTGCCAAGTACTACAAGATGGAGAACGGCAGTGAGTACCGCACACTCCTGAAGGCTTTTGGCATCCGCTTTGACGTGCTGGTGTATGGGAACGTGAGTCCTTGGGCCGGGCAGATCAGGGGGAGGACAGGGGAGGAAACCCAGACCAGTCTTGGGCCCTCAAGAGCCTCCTCCCGGGGGGCAAGTTCCTGCCACTGACCAGCTCTGAGAGCCTTAGTGAGTCCCATCTCGAGTCTCTTCACCGCTGCGGTCAAGGGCTGGGGCCTCCTGGTCTACCAAGAACCCTCCACTCCACGGTCTCTCGGGCTGGGAGTCCACATTCAGCCTCAAGCCTCAGGACCTCGTGCTGGACCCTCTGCCCACCTGCCTTGGTCTTTCTGCTTGCAGGCTGGCAAGTTCAACATCATCCCCACCATCATCAGCTCTGTGGCAGCCTTCACGTCTGTGGGAGTGGTGAGTTCAGCCCCTCCAGGCTCACACAGGAGACCAATCAAGGTGGGGCCCCAGCTGGGGGCCGGGGGGTGGGGGGGGACGGGGAATGGCCCAGGTAAGCCCTGCTTCTGCCTAGAATGGAAAGCCTGACCTCTGGCCAGGTGCCTCAGTCTCCCTCACTGCCTCCCTGCTGGGTCAGTCCTTGAGTGAACATCTCTAGTCACGGAGAGCTCATTGGAGAGGTGGGTGATGAAGACATTCTGCAAAGCCCTCCCACAGCAGCCTCCCCATTTGCAGGAGGCTCCACCTGGTATAAAGTTCCTGCTCCCCACCATGAAAGTGAGGGAGGAGACTCCAGGGTTCCACAGGCCAAAGGAACAGAGCCCTGCTCCCAGGGACTTTTACCCCCTCACCCTCTGCTTCTCCCACTAAGTCCTCTCTCTGCATTTTGGTCTGCGGTCACTGCCAAGAGCTGGAGAGGTGGGTGATGAAGACATTCTGCAAAGCCCCTGGATGTTTTTCCAAGTGGAAACATCAGTCAGGTGTCTTTGGAGGACTCACCCCAACCCCTGGCCTGCTGTCTGCCTGAGGGCGGTCCTGCCCACTGCCAGGGCCACTCCACAGCCACCTGAGCCTGCTGCTTCCTGCCACACTGAGCCTGCTCTGCCTCTTCTCCTCCAGGGGACTGTCCTCTGTGACATCATCCTGCTCAACTTCCTCAAGGGGGCCGACCAGTACAAAGCCAAAAAGTTTGAGGAGGTGAGCTGGAGGGGAGGGTTGGGGTGGGGCATGAGAGGTAAAGGGATAGGGCAGGGAGGGACACTAGACCCCAGGGGGCTCTCGGTGGCTCCCCCTTTCGGGGCTTCTTAAGGGGAGTTCATGGGACCTCAATGCAAATTGGGGGTCCAGAAGAGAGGGATTCAGCCAAGAATGGGCTCTGTGGGGGCTCTGTGGCTCATCACTGCCAACACCCCCATCCACTCACTGTCCCCTCTCCATTTCTGGGGCGGGACAGCTATGGGTTAGCTCAGGTTTCTGTTGGCCCATGAGGTTCATGGAAGGACTGCTGGGGTCACACAGACTTGCTGGAGCTCCCTGATAATGAGCACGATGACGCTCAGAGCATGATAATGCCTGCCCTTCTGCTTGCAGGTGGACGAGACAACGCTGAAGGTCACCGCCTTGGCCCACCGAGTGTGCCCCAGCGACCAGACCACCGAGGAGAAGCAGTCCACGGATTCGGGGGCCTACTCCATCGGCCACTAAGGCCTCTTCCAGGGCCCCAGGCTCACCCTTGGGCTCCAGGTCTCCCGACAGGGCATCCCACCCGGGTGAGGGAGGATGGAAAGGGGCGGGGCTTTCATTTCCGCTGCTCACCCCACGAAGCCACGCCGGACCCAGGTGTCTGGGCCTCCCAGTGCCCTGGCAGACAGGTAGTTCCCCCTGCTAAGACCTCCATCTCCCCTTCACCCCTTGCCTTGCCCCTGTCAGCTTCCCAGGAGCCCCAGGGCAGCAGCACCTGAGTTTTCCCCCTTCTGAAGAGTAGAGAGCGTAATAGTAGTAACAAGTGGTCACAAGGCACTACCGAGTGCCAGGCAGCATCACACACATTATCTCATTTAACCCTTAGAAGAATCCGATGAGGTAGGTAATAGTTTCCCTGTTTTGAAGATAAACTGCGGCTCAGAGAGACTGAGTCGTTTGCCCAAGGCCACACAGCCAAGAAGCAAGAGGGCTGCGATTTGAACCCAGATCTAACTCCATCACCCACGCCCACAAGAGAAGAGTGAACTCCCAGGGGGCATCCGCCCCTGCAGCTTCAGCCTTCGCCACAGGGACCAGGATTAGGTTCTGCTGAATAAAGAGTAAGCACCGGGCTTTCAACAGGAACTCAGGCCCCATTTTAGGGGAGACCAGTTAGATAGTGATGCAGGTCTCTCTCTCTGACTTGGGTGGATCCCCAATTCAGAAGTAAAGAGTAGGGGCGCCTGGGTGGCTCAGTTGGTTAAGCGACTGCCTTCGGCTCAGGTCATGATCCTGGAGTCCCGGGATCGAGTCCCGCATCGGGCTCCCTGCTCGGCGGGGAGTCTGCTTCTCCCTCTGACCCTCCCCCCTCTCATGTGCTTTCTCTCTCTCATTCAATAAATAAATAAAATTAAAAAAAAAAAAAAAGAAGTAAAGAGGAGGCATGACTTAGCTCTGTCCCCAACCAGGGAAGGGTCATTCTGTTCTCTCTCTGGGCCCCCCACTCCAGCAGTGGAATTAGGCCACCCCTAGGGTGGGCGTGATTCCCAGACCCAGGCCCTTTTCTCAGCGGACCGTGCTCTTTTATGACGCTGGTGAACAGGCTGCAGTGAAGCCCGATGCCCTGTGAGCAGGTGGTCAGCCAGGCCACCCCCCACGGGGTCGTAATCGGTGGTCAGTGTTCAAGTGCTAGAATCCCTTTTGTCCCACTCTGCTGTTTACAGAGGAGCAGACTGAGGCCAGAGAGGGGAAATGACTTGGGTCACACAGTTAGTGGCCAAACGAGAACCCAGGTGTCCTGCAAAAGCTAGAAGCCAGAAAGCCTGCTGTGGGAACATCTAGTCCCCCCACACCTCTGTCAGCCTGGCATCCCCTCTCCTTTCTGGACTCTCCTCCGGTGAGAGGCCCGGGAGTCTCCCAGGGCAGAGCTCAGGAGCAGACCCAGGTCTTCGGAAGACTGAAGCATATACAATTTAGGGCATCTTTTCAAAATAACACGAAATTAGGTATTAGAAGGGGCTCATGCATGAGGGTGGCCCTGAAGGACGAGTTTCATTAGCCCCACTGTCTGGAGGTGTCTGGAAAAGTTGGAGTGTAGGCATGACCATGTGGTCTGAGCAGCAAGGAGCTTGCCTGCAGATGGAGGGCTGGCCCCTCTACAGAAGGTGCAGGGAGATGGTGGGGTGTAGAGGGGGGGCAGCTTTGGGAGTCATTTGGAAGGGATTAGTTTAGGAGCAGTGGGCACTTGCAAAGGCCTGACCCCAGTGATGCCCCCCTCTGGGGGAAAATGGGTCAGATTCCGTCGCAGGAGGCGCATCACCCCTTCCCCTGCTCGGCCTTCACCCCCACCTCATCCTCAGGCTGGTGGGATCACACCGCCTCAGGGGTGGCCTCGGGCATCAGGCCGTGTCCAGAGATCTGACGAGCAGAGACATCAGCGGAGGCCGTGTTCTGCACCTGGGAGACCCACAGGCAGCCCTGGCAGGGGTCACGGGGATGTTCCCTGCAGAGGAGACTGCAGCAACCATGTCCTCCCTTTCCTCCGGACTGGGGTGGTCGTCCCGCGGGTACAGCAGCCACTCCTGGGCCTGCCAGCAAGTGTGTGAACTCGGGACGGCGAGCCTGCCGTGTGGGCCACACGGAGCTGAGCCACGGCTTCTGGGCGCTAGATGGACAGCTGTTGTCTGTAGTAGCAACAGCAGCTGGCTGGGCCCTGCCGCATCGTGGCGGACTCGGCACAGTCCCCAACACGCCAACCCTGCTGGGGTTGCCGTGGCTTGTCACTAATCCTACCGGATGGAAAAAGAAATCTGGAATCCGTGGCAGTTTGAACTGGAGCCCATACTCACTCCTAGCAGTCCGTTGTGTCTGTAGTTACCCCGCATAAAAGCTAACATTTAGAGATCACTCACCCCTGCTGAGCAATGGGCAGGGTGCGCGACGCGGGTCGTCTACTGTGACCCTCCTTTTACAGAAGGGGGACTGAGGCTTAGTAAAGGGAAGACACTGAGCCGGCAGAGCTGGGCCTCCAGCCCTGAGCTTTATGGCTCCCGGGTCTGCGATCTTGACTTCTGTGCCACAGCTCTCTGAGAAAAACCAGGACATCCGTGCGCCCCTTCCTTTCGGTATGTGCTGGGCTAAACGAGGTATCTAGGCTGCAGGACCAAGGAAATAGCAGAACCTCAAATTTCCATATCACACAGTGGGTCAGACAGCCCCCTCCCCCGCCTGGTGGCTGTGCCATCCAAGACACACGGAGGCCGAGTCACGGGGGCAGGAAGGGGGGACGGGAGGCTCCTGGACCCCGGAAAGGCCAGGCCCCAAAGACGCTTACAGCACCTCTAAACCCATCGCACAGGCCAGGCTCAGCGGCAGGCCGCAGAGCCCAACTTTACCACAAGGAAGACTGGGAAACAGTCCTCCTGGGTCCTCAGGAGGAGGAAACAGTGCACACAGCACCCTCCGCCGCATTATCCCCCTCTTCTCCACAACCCCCCAGCCCACGGCCACTGACGGTTACACACACCCTTCCCTCCTCTGTTCCTTCTCGCAAAACCTTGTTCTCCACAAGTTACCCATCAACCTCCCAGAGGTTTTAATAGATAACACCCTCAGGAGTTTCTTCTCCCAAGAGTATTCGCCTTTTAATCAAGGGCTATCCAAGACTGAAAGGCCTTAAACAGCCAAAGATATAAATGCATAATGGTTGACGTTGAAGACCAGTAACTGACAGTGCTGGACATTTGAGAGATATCTTATCTCCCCTGTCCTGCCTCAAGCGAGCCTCAGTCTGGAGGGGTCTGAGCCCCGCTCCCTTCCCCTCCCTGCCTCTATTTCTTGTGTTGCCTGGCAAGATACTGGGCCACTGGTGTTGGCTACTGCTCATTCCCCAACCAGGAGATAAGTGGAGGCTGATAAAAGCGAAAATACCAGTCCCGGAGCTCCCTATGCAGATCTTCCCTTACCGAGCATCCCCAGCGGGATTCCACTCTCCTTTTAGAAGCAGAGCGTCAAGAATCAGCTTGTTAAAGTATGCAAGGGAAGGACCTGGGGGAGGAGGGTCTGACCCCCAGGGAGCCCCCTTTCTCTGCTCCTGGGAAGACCAACATGCTGTGATTAGAAGCTTCCCGACTCAGTGTCCATCCAGGGCAGATGGACAGACCCCTCTCCTGAGGAGAGGCCTCTACTAGAGGCAGTCCCTGGGCCCAGCATTGGTGACGTCCATTGCAATGCCCAGGCCCGTCGTCCTGCTGCCAGGGGCCCGTTCATGTTCAAGGGACTCGTCTCCTGCTTTTTCACCACCTCCTTCCCCTGGGGGTCTCCATTCCTGACCTGTTCCATTAACTCCCGCCCCTTTAGCAGCAAGGCCCATCTGAGAATACTGTTCTTGTTCCTGAAACTCTGCATCCCATCGCGTGCCTGGACAGATAGATGTACACACAGACGTGGGCCCGTATATACGTACGCCCCACACACACATACACGCGCACTCACAAACCTGCTGGTACACACATATACAAGCACACCCAGACCCAGGCATGTGAGGGGGCAGAGCTATACAGACGTACACAACATCCAGATGTATCCATAAATATACAGAGGTGTGGAAGATGCACACTCACTCAACACACAGATACACACTGGCTCATACAGATTTGTGCATATTTATAAATATAGATTCACATGGACACAGATGGACACAGGTATACAAGGACTGACTCTTGTACACACCAAGATACATATACACGCGTGCGTGCGCGCTCACAACTCTCCCTGCACCCCATGTAGAACTACACGCTCAAGAAGTAAGCATATCATCTAGCTAGCTAGCTAGCTCTGTGCCTTAAAGTCTCTCTCTCTGCATCCCCCCCACACCCCAACAACCCAGGGCTCTCTGCCCTCTTAATACCCAGTCTCAGGTCCGAGCTTCCTGCCTATCAACCCCAGCATCCTGCCTGGAACAAAGAACTGCAGCAGTGTTCTCCCTCCGTCTGTCTGTCCGGGTCCCCGGGGTCTGAGACAGTGAGGTGAGGGAAAGCGGCGGGGGCCTGGGGCTCTAGAATAGGGACGGGAGCCACACTGCTACCTGGTGCTGTAACTTTTGCCCCAAGGCCCTCCGGGTGGGAGGCAGCTCCCGTCTGAGAATGTCTTCTCTCTAGGGAGGTCAGCTGGGGATGGGGGAGAGGGAGAAGGGATTGGGGTGGGGGACACACCTGGGAAAGGAGTGGAGGACACATCTCAGGAGCGGGGGACTTGGAACTCAGCCACAGGTGGCTGGGAGAATAGAAAACCACTGTCTGAGAGGCCAGGAAGACCCAGGGCTAGAGGAGCCGGCTGCCCTAGAGGAGACTTCCTCCCTCCCACGTGGTTCCCCCAGGTGGGATCTCACTACACCCCATGTGCACCCCAATTCTTGAATGAGTGACATCACCTCCACATTGGAAAGCTCTCCCACTCCCCACCCCCTTCCCGCACCCCTTATGGGGGCCAAAAAAGCAAGAGGGCCAGTCTCGCCTGGTGCACAAATGAGGCGGTCCCCCGGTGCCTGGGGGAGCAGGCCGGGCAGAGAAGAGCCATGGGGAGCCCACCAGCCCCCCGGGGCCCCAGGTGCTCCAGCTGTGCTTCCCGGCCTGCCCCGCGGCAGGGAGCCGTCCACAGCTCCACCGGCAGTCCTCCAGTGCGCGCGATAATGAGACAGAGTCGGGAAAGTCTGGGTTTATGGCCAGGAGGGGCTGGGGGACAGCCTGGGGGTTCTGGGGGCTGCCGGGGGTGGTGAAGGGAGGGGGTTCCGAGGCAGGGGCTCCACGCCTCGAGCCTTGGGCGTAGAAGGAGCAGATGAAGGGCAGACTCCTTTCGCATGAAGTCCACTGTCAATGCTCCCCCAGCAGTGGAGAGCACGGTGATGTCAGCTGCCGCCTGTGTGGCGTGTGGCCCTCCTTCCCTCCTCCGGCTGGCCATGGTCAGGACTGCCAGTTGTGTTCCCCGCGTGTGCCTTCCAGCTAAGGTGCATCCAGCTCTTCCCGAGGGAGGAGAGAGGCAGTGTGCTAAGTGCTGCCCGTGGGCTATTGCACTTGATCCTCACAGTGACCCCAACAGGTAGATGTTATCATCATCCCCATTTCACAGATGGGGAAGGTGAGGCTTAGTGGGGGTAATAACTTGCCTGGGTCTCAGCCTGCAAGAGGCAGAGCCGGATGTGGATGGCGGCAGGCTTCCTCCAGCACGTATGGTCTTAGCCACGGTGCTAGCTCCCTCACATCTGGCTTCCATGCTGTTCAGACTGGTGAATTATCCGTCAACCAGCCCTGATTCCCACATCTTGCCTTCGTCCCTTGTCCATACCTTGCATTCACATCTGCTCCTCTCATCTGTCCCGTCAGTCACTCCTCGTGGCCCTCATATCAGAGGAAGGAAAGCAGCCCCCAGGCCCCGAGCCTAGCACTGCCGGTGAGGATGGAGAGCCCCCAACTAGCTCCCATACAGGGCACCCCATCGCCTGGTTTTGCTTTGAGGAATCCCTACATTTCAGCCCTCCTCACAGAGGACGTGGCTTCTCCAGTTGGGGGAAGGTGTGAGTTTAGGGAGGTGTGTTCAGGGACCTCGAAGGTACAGTGTGTAAGAGTCTACCTTGCCCCCCCCCTTGCCCTGGTCCCAGTCCCCCTCACCTCTGGTGCATAGGGCCACACAGTTGCCTTCCCCATTTCGCAGGCTGCCCTGGGGCCCAGTATCCAAAATTCCCACAGCTCCCATCAGTCTATTGAAATCTCCGGCACAGGAACTAAAGAAGTGATAGGCTGGGTCAGAGGGCTGAGGTCCAGGGAGACAGATCCAGGAGCCCCAGAGAAGGCTCACTGAGTGTTCCTTTCCCCTCTCACTGCCCACCCAGCCAGGAGCCAGAGTCGCTAGAGACCCATGCCTGAGGGCTTGCAGGCAATTCCAGTACCCCCAGCCATCACACAGAGCAGGCTTCTCCATCTACTGTGCACACAGATCTCCTGAGGACCTTGTTAAAATGCAGGTTCTGATTCAGGAGCTCGAGGGTGGGGCCCAAGATGGGGCATTCCTAACAAGCTACCCGGTTTGCCGATACTGCTGGCCCAGGGACCACGCTTGAGAGGCAAATATAATGGCACCTATTCATCCACAATCCCTGAGCTGCCTTGAGAGAAGTGGTCCATTTTAGAGATGCAGAAACTGAGACTCCAAGGAAGCCATCCAGCTCACAGGTCACTAAGCTGGCCATGGAGCCTACCTCCTGACTCCAGTGATGCTCCAGGAAATGTTCGACAGCCAGCTCTGGGGGACGGTGAGAACACAGAGGGCAGGAGGAACCCTGATTTACAACAATTGCCCATTTCCTTGGTGTGCGTATGTCCATGGGGGGCAGATTTCAAGCTACAGGCATGAAGTCCATGAGCATGGAGCTGGGACGAGATGCCCGGAATCATCGGTCCTCCCGACCCAGTCCAAGCCAGCTCCAGCACAGCCCTGCCTGCTGCTTGAGACTGGCCTCCTCTGCTGCTGAGATGCGGCTAGACGGCCAGCAGGGGCTCCCCGGAGGCAGTCAGAGAGAACTTCCTGTCCCTGCGGAGGTTGGTGCCTCACTTAGCCAGCCCTTGAGCAAGCCTCCGATCCAGACCTGGCCTTCGTCGACCCCTCTGACCATGCACAGGATGCGATAACCTAGGTTGTAGTTGTATATGGAGACAAGGTGGCCCCTGCAGCACCTTCTGCAGACATTCGGCAGAAGGAAGAAAATGTAGGGTAGAGAACTCGCTGGTTTTTCTCAAGTCTCTGAGCCTCCAGGAGAGAGCTTCTCATCCCTTTGCAGGTCAGAAATCAGTGACCTACTTGCCCCTCTCAATCCCATCTTGTGTCCCTTATCTGTGCTCAGAACTTTTTGCAAAAACTAATAATACTCGGAATAATCATACCATTTGCTGAGAGTTTTAGTGACCCAGGGACTGTTCCAAATACTTCCATGTGTTGTCTCATTTAATCCTCAACCACAGCCCTAACAGGTTGGTACTGTATATCTCCATTTGACAAACGAAGACTCTGAAATCCCAAAAGGTGAGCTGACTTGCCCAGTAACACAGCCAATGACAGGCAGAGCCAGATTGAACACGGGCATATCTAATACCAAAGCCTTTCGTCCAGACAGTGTTTCCCAAAGTGCAGTCCCCAGACCAACAACACCATCATTACTTGGGAATTGTTATAAATGCAAACTCTCAAGCCCCGCCCCAGATTTGCAAAGCCAGAAATGTATTTTAACAAGACCTCTAGGAGATCCTGACACACACTAGGCTTGGAGATAAAAGGGAAGAGAAGGTTGAGTCCAGTCTCTTCTCCTCCCCGCCTCCAGTCCTCAACAGTAGCCTCCTTGCCACTTACCTGAGCGTTTACAAATTTCTCGAGGTTCCGCACCAACAGGAAGCGGCAAGTCTCGCACCCAGGACTGCCCGGAATTTAAACCGTGCCCTCTTCTTTGGGGCACTGCAAGTCCTTGTCTAGGGCAGCTGGGTCGGAATCCATGGCCTCCTCATCTGCATATGTGTCCTGATATCCGGAAGGCTTGGTCTCCTCTCCCTCAGACTGAAATCACCTCCTGGGTCAGGGCCGGGTCTCCCTCCTGCCCCCCTGAACATTCCAGATTCTGACTTAGGTCTGCCCATGTCTCTCGGCTGTCCAGACTGGGGCCATTATTCTCTGGGAAGAAGGGGTAACCTGCTATCAGGTCGGGGCGGGGGCGGGGGTCTCACTTCTTCCAGGACCACGGACCGCTCTGAAGGCCCGTGCAGGCCTTCCTAGAGACACCATCTGGAGCCAATATGGATCTCCCTAGCATTGGGTGAGGTGAGAACGCTTGGGTCATAAGCACAAATGGATGAGATCCTGACTTCTGGCTGACACCGCAGGTGTGTATTGTGGAGGTGGGAGGAAGCACCTGTGAGGAGCCCTTCATCTTCACAGGTGGGTGGGTTTTCCTGTGAAGTAGCCCTGACAGAAAGTTTGGGTCACAGTTCCGAGTCCAGGAGAAATCGAATCAGAGATGGGCTGGGTCAACTGAAGGGGGGCAGCTGGGGCCCTGGCCCCATGAGGCAAAAAAACTGCAGGAAAGAGGAGAAAAGAGAAAGGTTGGTGAGACAGGAAGGGGAGGCTTACCCAGATGGAGAGCAGCGACTGTCCCCAGCAGAAGGGACAGGAGCAGGGGGCCTTTCATGTCCACTCAGGCTTGGGACAGGGACACAGCTCCCCCTTCCCTCCATGTGGGTGTCCTGTGTGTCTGCACAACCCCTGGCACATAGGGGACGAAATGCTTGTTTAACCAGTTGATTAAGGGGCAAAGTGTTGGTTAGAGCACTCCTTCCTCCCCAGTGAACAGACCCTGAACTGGAGAATTAGGAAAAGGATGTGGGATGTCAGCTCAGGTACAGAAGTCCCTTTTTCCTGAAAGCCCCATCCCTGCTCCCTGGGACGGCCCTGAGCTCAGACCCTTGCCCCTGCAGGAACAGGCCTGCTCTGAGTCAGGGCCACGTTCATTCACCCTGGGGAATGAGGGGAAAGGATGGTGGCCGTAATAGTCCTGAGGACGGGCTTCAGAGGTGCATGCCATGTTGGGTCAAGCACTCGCCTCCGGGAGTCTGAGGCTGCCACTCTCAGTGCTTCTGGCTGTTGGGCCCCAGAGGCAGCTCTCATACTGGGCTTCTGGGGAAGTGGGAAGAGGTCAGGATGATTGCCCCCAGCTGGGGTGGAGAGCAGAGGAGCTGATAAGAAGAGTTTTGCTCAGTCCTCTCACCCTTGAGCCCTGCTGTCTGCTGGGACTGCAGAGGCCTACCTCCCGGGGCCCCCTTCACATGTGGGTACCCAGACGCCCTGGTGTGCTCAAGAAGACCCCAGCTGACTATTGTCTAGGCATTATTACTGCCCCTAAGGTGCCCCAGTCTGAACAACACTCCTTAACCCCAGGAGAAGCCTTCCTCTGGCCAGTATCCCAGCTAATGAGTGGGGAATCCCAGGGAGCTGGGAGACCATGTTGGGGGGAGGTAGGAGGCCCCGGGAGCCTCAGCCTTCCTGAGCGCTTATCTAGACCAGGTCTTTTACACGCTTCACATCCCTGAATCCTCACCTTCACCTCATTCCATGAGAAGGTATGCTTATCCTTACTTCGCAGTTGTGAAGAATGAGATTCAGAGAGGGAAGGCAACTTGCCAAGGTTGCACAGGAAGTAGGAGAACTGTGATTTCTAAGTCTTTTTGGCTTAAAACCCTTCTGTCTCTCTCTGACTCTCTGTGTCTCTGTCTTTGTCTGACTCTGTCCCTCTCTCTCCTTCACTTTCTTCCTTTCTCTCCCTCTCCTCTCCTTATCCCTCTCTTTCTCATCTTTAATATGTGAAAATTTTATGCTTGTTCTTTTATGATGTGGCTCTAGATCAACGTTCTCAACCTTCGTGCTATTGCTCCTTGGGGTGAAATCATTCCTTGTTGGGGGGTGGGGACTGTCCTGTGCATTGTAGTAAGTTTAGCAGCATCCCTGGCCTCTACCCACCAGATGTCAGTAGCACCTCCCCCAGTCATGATGATCAAAAATGCTTCCCCACAGTCCCAAATGTCCTCAGGAGCCCCAAGGAGCTAAATTGCCCTGGCTGGGGATCACTGATCTAGAACATGTAGAACGTGCCATTTTGTCCAATCTCAAGCCATATCTTCTGGCCAGGAGGCAGCAGCCGCAATGGAAAACTTCATGCAGAGTCATTCAGACACTCTGGGCCACCCTTCTCTGCACCCCCACTCCCCATCTCCCACAAGGTCTCTATCACCACCAAGGTCGGGACTAGAGGGACATGAGCAAGGCACTTGCCTCCGTTGCAAAATTTAAGAGGGCACTAAAGAATTCAGTAGTCAAGAGAAACAATATTTTAATGTGATCTTTCTTAAAAATCAAGATACATGCAAAAAATCCACGATGAACAAAATAGCAAACTTTTAATCAATCAAGTTCTGGCCAAATTCACTGCAATCCAAGAAGAGGCTGGCAAGTTCTGAGCCCTGAGTTTGCTGGATATCCCCGCCAAGAGCTAGAGGACTAGTTGGGGTGGGTGTCTCAACTCTATGCCTTCCTAGCTGGGCAATGCATATTTGATTATTGGATTCCAGTCCAGACCTCCAGTACCCAGAGCACCAGACAGGTAGCCCAGAAGGTGAAAAGGCCTGGGTCCTCCCCTCCTCTGCTCTCTCAGGGGACCTACAAATGGAGAAGTATCTGAGAGCTCATTTCTGTGCCCGATTGCAGAGTAATGGTCTTGCCCCTTATCTCCCCAGCCCAACGGACTTGACTCTCAGCTTCTCTTCTTGATTCAGGGACTGGGGGCTGGGCCAATTCCAGGCCCCTAAAACCCAGTCTCCAGATTTTGAACTTGAGATCTCCCTAGTGGGAAGGCTAGACCCCTTCCCCATTTTTCTAACCCATCCTGGGGCCCAGCCAGGGGTATCATTTCATCAGTGTTTGGGGTGACCAGTAAAGTCAGCTAGCACCATGATAAGTTTTACATGTGTCTTTTCATTGGAAAGCCCATTTCATAGGTGAGGGAATGGCATCTCAGAGAGCTTAAGACACAGCAAGTCAGAGACAGGCCTAAACCCAGGCCTTCCAGCCTCTTAGCCACCCCACGCCTCCCTTCCCTCTGCCTCCTCTCACAGACCTCCCTTCTCTACAACTTGCCCCTCTCTGCATTCACCCCACTTTCTTTACACACAAACCCTGGGAAAAGACAGTGCATTAAGTTTAGTGACCTCCTCACTGACCACAGTGAAGCTTGTCTGATTCCAAAATAATATTTTTGAAGGTCTACCACAGACCAAATACTATGTCTCATTAGGGCTTTTATCTCCATGATCCTATGTACTTAATTTTTACAATCATCCTGCAAATTAGGAATTGTCATCTCTAGCCTACATATCTACTGCTCGAGCTCAGAGAGGTTAAATGACTTGCCCAAGTAGACACAACTATTAAGAAGCGGCACGTGTGTCCCTCGTCTGTCGGACTCCCACATCCTTGCTTTCTTTGATAGGCCCAACTGTGTTAGCCCCAGACATTCTGGCCAACGTGTCCAGCATCCATGAGACTCCAATCCTCTGGCTCACTGTTAGCATTTGTATTCATAGGGATTTCAAACACTGCCTCTTATCTCAAGATTCAGCCCTGCCCCACACTGTACAGAGGGTGGGTCTCTCTGTCTTGAGGGGCAGTGCAGTGTGATGTGTCCTGGAATCAGGAGTCCAAAAGCAGCCCGTCTGTCACTCTGTTTTCTCATCCTAAAGCAGAGGCTCATAGCGGGACCTCCATATAATGCGCCAAACTCCCAGAACAGTGCCTGACTCATGGGGTTGGGAGGTGGCCCTTGTCAGGAAGCCAGGCCTGGAACTGTGGCCCCAATCAACAAATGAGCACTGTGTGTTGATTGAGTTCCTGCTCTGTGCTTTGCAGAGTGTAACGAACTCCAGGGATTCCGTCCCAAAAATGCAAGTTAGCTTCACAGAGCTTAGTTAGCATTTTGTTGGAGATGAAAAAATGACACACAAACCCACACACTTGGGGATGCAAGGCCAGTCCTCTTATTTCATTTTTTACTTTTGTATGACTTTTCTTGTGGACATATAACATGCATCCTATAAAGTGTACTGGAGGGTGGGCTGCTCAGGGAATTTTCAGAGTGAATGTACCCTTGGAGTCATGCCCAGATTAAGATCCAGAATGTTTCCAGGCACCCAAATGCCTCTTTCATGGCTCCTTGACATGAATCCCCCACAGGGGATCTCCATGGATTGGAAGGCCCACTTCTGTCACAACACACAGCCCCAACAGAAGAGATCGATGAGGACCAAGTCCACTTACCACTTAGCATAAAGCCTGGCACCTAGTAAATGCTTAATCAATGGGTAATAGTGTTACTCTTTATTATGTATATTGGAATAAAGGGAAGCCATGCCTTCCCACAGCAGAATATAGTCTATGAGGACAAGGAGTGAAAGTTCTACTTAAGCGGCATCCTCCCCAGCATGCAGCCCAAGGCTGAACCTGGAAGAACGTTCCAGAATTCCACTGTCTTTGAAGTCAGCAGATTGTCATAGAACAGCACTTATAATGGGCTTCAGTCTGAACTGTGCAGCCTTGAGTAAGCGGCTTCCCCAGTCCGGGCAACGCTCAAAAAATTCAGGTTCTTAATTTTCCTCTGGGATTCTAGAGCCCTATGTATTTGAGGAGTCCAGGAGGAAAAGGCGCTTTAGGGCATTGACACCTTATTTTCTGCTCACCTCCTTGGTGGAGTGAGGATTCGGAATGCCTTCCTTCCCCACCTCTGACTGGGACTCCCTCCTGTCCCACTGGGTTGGAGTCCTACGTCCCAAGATGAACCCAAGGGTCAGGGAATGTGTCCTACCTCTCCACAGTGCTCCATCCCTAGGTGACCCTGTCCTGGAAGCAGTCAGTGCTACCAGCCACAGGACCCTAATGGTTGAAAGAAGACACTCTGGAACAGATGGCCGAGTCACAACATTGGCCGCATTTAGAGATTCTGCCTTGGGCCAGTCTTTGCAAGGGCCATAACTTCTCTGAGCCTGGTTTTGTACAATGAGGTCATAATTATCGATCACACAAGGTCGCCTTTGCAAGGTGCCTGCCTCAGCTGGGGGTACTTTGTGGGTGTGCAATAAGCAGTAACAATTAGTAGACGTTGTTGTGCTTCTATTTTAAACAACAGTATGTTCCCGAATGGCCAGAAGCTGGGTCTTGTATTCCCAGGTCTTACAGAGAGTTGAACATGCTGTCTTCTATTGGGTTTCCCCAGAAACAGGCCCTGAGACAAGGATTTGAGGGCAAATAGCTTATTTGGGAGGTGCAGGACACTTGTAAGGAAGAGGAGAATTCAGATGGATGACAGAAGACAGCCAATAACATGTGTGGTGCAAAGCCAGCTGCCTCAGGGGATACCTGGAAGTTGATCCCCCTGGGAAGCCCTGGGAAACAGTACCCAATACGTGCCTTAGAATTAGTCCACTTGCAGGGCAAGGGACCGGGGCACTCAGACTCCTGGTCCGCGTTGTGGACTGTTCCCAGGGACATGTTAATTTCCTGGCAGTTAAGGCGACCACACTCTGTGGGAAGGAGAAAAGACCCTTGGGTGTGGAGATGCAAGCCCGGGACTTCGAGAGCCCTCCCGGAGTGAAGAAACAGGTGGGGTCCTGAGAGCTCCTGCTAATCAGGTGCCAGGAACTGGGTGTCGTGTGAAAAGAGCTACCTGAGCCCATTCTTCCATCTTCAGGAAGGCCCCACGGACCCCACCCAGCCTCCTTGTTATGAGAGACCGCGGCTTGGGGAGGGGGCAGTCATTGCTGGGCAGAAAGTTCATGGGTGGGGCTAAGCAGAGAGAATCAATGACCAGAGGAAAAAGAAGTCAGTTTCAGGAAAGCAGTTTTATTGCTGGGGGCTGGAAGCAGGGGCAGCAGGCAGGGGAGGGGAGGCAGCTACCCCGGAGGGGGCGGCTCTGGACTCCTGGCTGGGTCCAGCTCAGTAGGAACAGATGAAGGGGAGGTGCCTGCAGCAGCGAGTTCGACGCCAGCGACCTCCTGTGAAAGCAGAACAGGAAGGGACCTTCAGCCTCTGGTTTCCCCGGACTCAACCCCAACAGGGCCTCCCCCACCACCCCACCCCACCCCTGCCTCCATGGAGAGGGAGTCTCAAGACTCAGCAGGCCCCTCCCCGGGAGGCACAGGCCCCTCCCCTGGAGGCACCGGCCCCTCTCAGCACCTCTTCTGTGAGCCCCTCCTACCCCCCCACCGCCCCCCACGCCGCCCTCGGTCTTCCCATCCCTCGTCCCCACTCCCACCTCACCTTGGGTACACAGGGCCACACATCTGCCACCCCTGGCCTGGGGCTGGCCAGCAGCCCAGTTTCCAAAGTTCCAGGAACTGCCGTCAACCCAGTGAAAGCGTTTCCAGGGTCCCTAGAGGAGGCAGGAGGAGAAGAGGTGGGCGGGGGCGAAGGGAGAGCAGAAAGGCAGAGCTGGAACTGTCCCACCCGGCATTTGCCCTTGACCACTGGGTCGTGATGGACACTGTCTTGGTCAACTGCAGTGCTGATCCACAGTGATCATCACCATCACATTCTATGCATGGCAGTGACACGCTCATCCTTCTGGCCCAAACAAGAGGTAAGCAGGAGTTGCAACCCCATCCTAGAGATGCAGAAACAGCCTCATGGTCTCACCCAAGTCATACAGACAGTCAGAAGCTGAGTAAAACTTGGCCCCAAACCTCCTCACTCTGAATCCTTGGCTCCTCCCAGTGCCTAGGCAGCCTCCTGGGTATCTCACCCCAGTTGTCCGTCTGTCCCCAGTTCTTCGGAGGATCAGAGGGGAAGCACAGACAGAGCTGCAGCAAGGTGAGCCCTGCCTGGGGTCCAGGAGAGCTTCCCACTTAGAGCTGGGATCCCTCTTACCCAGCCTCCGATCCTGCCTCCGATCCAGACTTGGCCCTGGTTGAGCCCGCTGACTGAGCACTGGATCCGGCGATTGAAGTTGAAGTTGTGGATGGAGACGAGGTTGCCCCGGTAGCACCTCCGGCAAGTAAACTGCAGGGCAGGGTAAGAGAGGAAGAATGGAGTGCCCCCCTCAAAGGAATTCATGTGACCTTAGTCTTGGGTCTCTAAATCTCCAAACTTCATCTTCTCCACCCCCATGCCCACCTCCACAGCCATTTGAAGGCTGGAGATCTGTTTCCACATGCCACTCCCTTCTGACCCTGACACCTGGGTGCGCCCCAGCCCCTGCTGACACCCCCAGGCTCTCCAATGAGGCAAATAGTGATGCAGAGGCTGGAGACATCTGTCCCCGCCCCCACCCCAGGCCTCAGCCTCAGCCCCAGACCACTGACCTGAGCTTGAAAAAAACTCCTGGCCGTCCTCACTACGAGGAAGCGGTGACAGTTCTTGCACCCAGGGCTGTTCTCCAGTTTCACTGTGTCCTCTTCTTTAGGGCACTGAAAGTCCTCGTCCTCCTCATCCAGGGCTGAGGCAGAGTCTACAGCCCTCTCCTCCTCAGGGGCATCTTCACTTCCCGAGTACCCCTCCTCCTCTTCCTCCAGCAGCGTCAGCTCCCCTGTAGGGGCCTCCTTTGCCTCATTTTCTGGCATCTCCCCATCCTGAGGCACAGCCTCATCTCCTAAGAATCAGAGTTAGACGGTACAGTCCCTGGCAGGGAGAAAGGCCAAGCGTCCCTTCTTTGCATCTACCCCTGTTTCTCCCCAGCACCGTGGACAGCGTCCACCTTGACCTGGGCAACCGGGAGGTTCCTCAAAAAATTAAAAATTGAGCTACTATTGCACTACTCGGTATTTACCCCAAAGACACAGATGTAGTAAAAAGAAGGGCCAAATGCACCCCAATGTTCATGTCAGTAATAATAGAAGTCCGCAATAGCCAAACTGTGGAAAGAGCCGAGATGTCCTTCAACAGATGAATGGATAAAGAAGATGTGGTCCATATATATACAATGGAATATTACTCAGCCATTAGAAAGGATGAATACCCAACTTTCACATCAACATGGATGGGACTGGAGGAGACTATGCTAAGTGAAATAAGTCAAGCAGAGAACGTCAATTATCATATGGTTTCACTTACTTGTGGAACATAAGGAATAGTGTGGAGGACATTAGGAGAAGGAAGGGAAAAATGAAGGGGGGGAATCGGAGGGGGAGGTGAACCATGAGAGACTTTGGACTCGAGGAAACAAACTGAGGGTTTCAGAGGGGGGGGGGGTGGGGGAGATGGGTTAGCCCAGTGATGGGTATTAAGGAGGGCACATACTGCATGGAGCACTGGGTGCTATACCAAACAATGAATCGTGGAACACTACCTCAAAAACTAGTGATGTACTGTATGGTGACTAACATAACATAACAAAAAAAATGTGGGCTCTATCTAAGCAACTATATAAGCAAAAAGATATTGTTTAGACACTGGGTAAATAAAGATTGTTAATGACAAAACAAAAGAGAGGAACCTGGAACGGAGCCAACAGGAGGAGACCCCCCCCCCCCCCAACCTCCCGTAAGAGCCCATGTTGTTAAGAGCAAGGACTTAGATTCAGGCAGCTGTGGGTTTGGGTACTAGTTCCATCACCTATTAGCTTTATTTTTTCGTTTGTGATATGGGTACATGATAGTACATACCTCATGGGGATGCTATGATGTTTAGAAGAGATAATGCATAGGAAATGCTTAGCATGACACACTCAGTGAGCTCAAAGTAGAAGGAACCTATTATTATATTCATCATTGGTATTATGCAGAAAGGACAAAATCGAGAATGTCACGGTGGAACCGAGAGTGCAGACACAGTTGCCCTGGGGAGTCCCTTCAACTCCTGGTTCTAGAGCCTCTCTGCTCCTCTGGGTGTGCAAAGATCCTGATGTAGGGGAGCTCTGTAGCTCCGACCCCATCTACTCTAGAAAGGAGCAAAGTGGAGAAAGAGAGACTGAAGGCCAAGGAGACTTACTCAGATGGAGAGCTGAAACTGCCCCAAATAGAAGAGCCAGAAGTAGGGGGACTTTCATCTTGGCTTTTGTTCTGCAATGAAGAACACAGTTAGTCACACACACACTCACACGTGCACACACACACGCACAACCCTTGGGAGTGGAGTGGAAAAAAGAGAAGGCATGACTAGAAGTCCCTGAAACTCCAGGATGCTGGGAACCTGTCTGAATGGAGTGAGGCCAGACCACGACAGGCAGCCGAGGCTGGCCTTCCTGTGGGTCTGCATATGAGGAAGGGAATATTACCTTTATTGGTTTGTACTGAACGGACCCCTCAGAGTCTATGAAATAAGAGAGAACCGAGAACCAGTGATTGTCGGCCTTCCCAGCAACGCTTAGATAGTGCTTCCCCGCCTCAAAGCTCTGAAAGCCACACACACTCCCATGTCCCCCACACTCTTCCCTCCCCGGACAAGGAGAGCTGTCACGTGCCTCCGAAGGAGTATGAAAGGCAAGGATGAGAAGAGAAGTCTTGCCCCTGCCGACCCCTGAAAGCAACTACACACAGTCCCAGCTAGCCCTGCAGAACTTCTCAGCCTGGGCTGGGCGCCTCCCCGGAGGGTGAACACATACCCGAAATCAGCTCCACCACGACAGGGAGAGCGCTTACTTGCCCAGAGGTCTTCCTGGCTCCTGAGGAGTTCACAAAGCTCAGACTCTCCTTCTCTCCATCCCGCAGTGACATTTTATAGAGGGGTCTTGGAGGAAGTTCCCCAGAGAAAGGAGGGTTTCCCCAACCTGAAGGAAATGGGAGGGCTGATAAGAAGTGTTTCCTCACTTCCCTGGAGAGCCAATTCATCTGCTTCCAGATTCTCTCCTGCCACCCCTTTTAGGAGCCTGGGGGCCGTTCTGGGCCTGCCTTGAACTGGTGGTTCTTATCCTGGGCTGCACTTCAGAATCTCCCAGGGAGCTTTTCCAGAATACACGGCTCCTCTGCTTCACTAATGGGAACGTAAACTGCCACAGGGATTGGGGAAATAAATCTGTCAATATCTATTAAGATTAAAGGTGTGCATGTCACTTGCTCAATTTCACTCTTCAGAGACTATCCTTTGGAAATAAAAGCACCTATAAGTAAGAACACTTTTACAAAGTTGCGTATTGCTTTCCCATTTGTAAAAACAAAAGTCTCCATGAAAACAAGGCGCTGACTCACCCCTGGATGGATAGGTGGTAAACAAAGGGGAGGGAAACAGGGCATTCCGGGCATGAGCAAAGGTGTAGTGAGGATGGAATGACCTTGGCATTAGCAAAGGACAGTGTCCTTTCTTGTGTAACTAAAGTTAACAGAGTACACATTGGAAAGAGGTGGGGAAAACAGAGTACATCCCATCTTTTTTTTTTTTTTTAAGATTTATTTATTTTAGAAAGAGAGAGAGTGAGCAGAGCGGGGGGCAGGAGGAGAGGGAAAGAGGGAGGAAGCAGACTCCCCGCTGAGCATGGAGCCCGCCATGGGGCTCAATCCCATGACCCAGAGATCACGACTGGAGCCGAAATCAAGAGCTGGTCGCTCAAACAACTGAGCCACCCAGGCGCCCCGAGGACATCCCATCTTGAGCCAAAGAATGGAAATATCCTTCCCCCCGTGTCCACTGACTTAAGGAGACAGAATGCAGGAACCAAGGACATGACTCAAAAACAGCGAAGACAAGGAGCTTTGAGCTGCATTCAGCCTCATCCCCGTCCCCAGGCCCCCCTGCAGGGCCACTTTGCCTGTTGGACAAAGCTATTACAGTCAGACAATGACCAGGTAGGGCCAATTCTCGGAGGCCAGTTGCTGCTCAGCCTCCCCAACCCTTAGGGAAGTCCCTCCTTTAAGCCACACAATCCAGGGTCTGAAATCCACAGCTTAGTGGCCCTAGAAATTCCATTTCGTCAACATCCACTGGGGCGTGAGAACAGCGGCTGAGAGTGTGGGTTCGGGACACTCTCCCGACAGACAGTCCAAGTCTGAATCTAGGGTCTACCACTTCATAGCTGTGTGACCCTGGCCACGTTCCTTAACCTCTCTGTACCTCATTATCATTGTTGATAAAGTGGGGACAACTATCCCTACCTCACTGGGTCGTCAGAAGGAACAAACGAGACAGTGTGTGGGTAGTGGATATGAGCCACCCAGCCCCCTCACTGCCTTCTGGTTTCTGGAATCCCACTTCCTGCAAATCTTGGTGGGGGGTAGGCCTCTTGTTCTTGAAAAGAAAAGTGCCAAATAGATTCCCAGCCTCCCTTGCAGTGCTGGCATATGACTAGGGCTCTATCGAATAGGAGCATCCAGTCAAGACTTGGCATCTGGAGCTCGTGACCAAGAATTGGGGGCCAAGAAGACCTCTCCCTTCTGGTGCAAGGGTGTAGACCCAGTTCCTGGATGGCAGTGACCACAGTGCTAGAGGGGGGGTCCGGGGTCCAGGCCCTACGCTGCCAGCCACAGGGCCTGAATCACAGCAGCAGGTGGGGCCTCCCCACACCCATCCTACAGCCTGGTTTTGGCCCCTGGTTCTCTTCCTGCAATTTTACTGAACTATCTTGTTTCCATTTAATAAATTTCATTTTTCTGCTCAGATCGCTGGGGGAGAGGTTCGTCTGCCTGCCACAGGGCCCTGACTGAGGCAGCATTTAACACTAGAACTAGCAGGTAGTCACTGCTCAGTAAATGACAGCTACTCGTGTTCATAGGTCTAGAAGTGATCCAGGTCTTTGGGACTGACCCACATTAATCAAACTCTCAAGAGACTGATGTCTACATCTGGTGCCAGTGACATAAATTTAGGTTGACTTGAACCCACATGGGACCCACTTAGGGCCTTCTGACCCGCACATTCCCTCCCTGCCTCACAAGCTACAAATGTTGCTAAATTTGTGTCAATTTGTCATACAGCATAGAAGAGTAATAAGATGGTGTGGCAGGTCAAGACCAGGGCCTTCCCAGGATGAAAGTTATAGTTAGTGCAGTTGGCGGAGGGGGTTGGCACGGGGCTTCCCAAAGGAATGGGCTTGAGGAGTTCCTGGAAAAGAATCCAGGGTCAGCAGGTCAGGAAATACGGGCAGAGAAAGAGAGGTTCGATCCAGGCCAGAGGTTCCCCCCACCCCCTCCCCCTTAGACCATAACAGGCTGGAAAGTCCCTTCTAGTTCCAAGCTCTGCCCCCACAGCGGTGATGTCCTCCAGGAGTTGGACCTCTGGGGCTGACCAACCGCCCGGTAACTGGGCTTGGCCAACATCCCTGTGGGGCAGATAAGATAAGATAAGAGGTGGTGAAAGGCCTAACATCATCCCAGAGCTGAGCCACAGGGAGATAAAGACCCAGGCCATTGCTCTGTGAAATCAGCCTCAACAGCAGCTGCTTTGACACTTACTTCCCTGTTTGGATGTCCCAGGGATGGACACTGACCAAGACTGCTGGAGCCCAAAGGGCCCCAGTCCAATCTCCACATCTCAGCCATGGAGAGTGCCCCAGACTAGACTCAGATGTCCCCATTCCCAGATTCACCGCTCAGACTACCCTCTATCACCTCCTGGCACCTTCTCTCGCAGACTGAGTCCTCGCCACGGGGCAGGCGATATTAAGTCTTTGCAGTCCGTGGCTCCCCCACCCCACTCGCCACCCTTCAGTATCTCCCCAGTCCACCCACTTTTCTCCATGTCTGCTGCCGCCTTCCTAGCCCAGGCCGCCATGCTTGATGACATACATCAGAGCCCGTTGTCCCCATGCTCCCCGTTCAGTGTCTTCCTTCTGCACTAACAACTGATCCAAACTCATGCCCACTGCCTGCAAGTAGTAGTCTGGCTCTTGTCTACTTGCCCCACCTCAGTGGTGTAAGGATCCTTCTCATGCTGGTTTCCACTTCATGGGCCAAGCTGAGCCTTCATACTGGCTCCTTCTATCTATCAGGTCTCAGCTCAAAGCTCACCTCGTCAGAGACGCTTTCTCGAGAACTCTTTCTAAAGAAACCACCCCCCATCCCACTCTCACATCAAGTTACTTTGTTCCATATCATTCCATGTATTTCCATCAGAGCATTTACCAAAATCACACGATCTTGCTTATATATTGGTTTCTTGACAATGGTCTGTCTCCCCCAGGAAGAAGTAAGTTCCACGAGAATAGGGACTTTGTCTTTCTCATTTACTGCCTAGAACTCTACCCAGATCATAGAAGGAGTTTTCCAATTATATGTTGCATTAATTAATCAACTTGAACTTCACACCTGGAGAAACTCCAGCTGAGTTTTGCTCCGAGTATAAACCCATTAATGTTCTGACCTCTACCTGCCATGGGCACAACCCCGAGCCAGCCTCTGTGTTCTGCAGCATTCGTGTATTTATTGGTTCATTCACTCACTTGCTCATTCATTCATTCATCCATTCACCAAGTACTCAGAGGTAGTCTCTAGCTTAAGGTAGCTAAGACAGCTAGACAAACAGAATGAACCTATTCATCAGTAAAACAAGGCACTGTGTTGAGTGGACACAGAAGGACAGACCTTATACAAACTGGAAGATACAAATTTTCAGTGCTACCAGAGGGCAGGCAGAGAGGGCTTCCTGGAAGAGGTGTTGCTTCAACTGGGCTCTGATGGACTAATAGACAGGATAGGAGAGGCTGAGGAGGAGTGGGAGGTCCTTCTGGAGGCCAAACCATGGCCTGGAACTGCTGGAGTTTGAGCCAGGATATGAATGATTTGGTGTTTCCTAGAGGTTAAGTCAAACCATTAGGGGCTTCTCTGCTTTGCCCCAAAGCCAAGCTCCTCCAACAAGCAGTGTAGACTTGGTGGCCAGTTCCTCAACCCCCTCTTACTCCTCTACACCACTGGTTTCTGGTAATCTGGTTTCTGCCCACTCATTCCTCCACAGAAACTACTTTTGCCATGGTCCCCACTGACCACCCAACTGCCAAACTCGAAGACCTTCTTCAGTTCTTACCCTACTTGACCTCTGTACTACATGGCATCTCTTCACTTCCTCCTTCTTAAAAACTGCCTTAGCAACATTCCTTCCCAGTTTCTGCTGGTGGCCTCCTCTTCCTCTTCTAAAAAGTTAAATATTGGCCATCACTTGGTTTCCTGGTGCCTTCTTTCCTAATTTTACACACTTTCTATGGGTTATCTCGTCTACGCCCCCATTTCAAGCTACCAAATATGTACCGATCACTCCAACCCCAGCCCTGCTCCTCGCCAGGTCTGGCCATCACCACAGACTCACATATATGGCCACCCAATAAGTTCCCAACTTGAATGTCTCACAAGCATTGCAAATTCAACACATGCCAGCCTGAATTCACCCCTACACAAACACACACCCACATACGCACGCGCACACCCAAACCTGCTCCTCTCCTGTGGTCACTTTCTCAGGAGAAACCACCCCCTTGTACCCAGACGCCCACGCCAGGACCCTGGGGCCATCTCTTTCTTCGCGGCATCTGGTCAACCCCCAGGACCCTGGGGCCATCTGGTCAACCCCCAGCGCCACCCCTCTGCTGCTCTCCCAATCCACTGCTGACCATCTTTCTCCTGGATCGTTTCAACGGCTCCAAACTACTTTCCTGCCCCAGCCTTACCATCTCTCCCTGCCCCTGATGCTTTGTCCAGAGGCTGCCAAAGTGAGCTGTCTAAAGCCCTGCTCTTTCCCGGTCATGCGTGATCTCTCTGGCCTCATGCTTTTGCATCCAAGAATGCCCTTTTCCTCCCTAACCCGTGTTCCACCCTTCCTCTTTGTCTACCTTTCAACCAAGGATTGCCTCCTCTATGAAGCCTGCTGTGATTCTCCCAGGCAGAGGTAGAAGGGAGCCTAAGC